TAAATCGACTTTTGATTCCATAATTCGATGTATGCATTGCTATGAAACTTTATTTTGAATTTGCATACTAAAAATACTTTTACAATAGTAATCTTTATGTTCATCGTTCATGTGTCTTATTAGTTAAACCTAATAACGATAATATTACATACCATTTTCTTTTTATAGCACATCTTGAATATGTACTGTACTAGTTATTATCAAGTAATTAGCTACAGTGAGCAGCACCGTTTAAATTCTATCAGACAGATCTCAGTTTACTTATTGTACATACGTACGTTTGTAGAATCTCTTTAAATGAAACTTTTCACCTTGTGCTTCGTCAATTGTTCTGTGCTTTATAGGTTTCTATTCTTTTGATTTGTTAAATTGTAAATATAACTAAATTGTAAAAAAGTATACATGGACAATATTACATGGGATTTAACAGGAAAGTGTTATTATTATCTTTTTTCTTTAATAAGGTATGGCTTAGGGTTAGATTATATAATAGTTTCTTTTGTTTCAAAAAATTTTTTTTTAAACTATACAATATAATTAACCATATTTAGTAAGTATGAAAATTGTTATCGTTGTTTCTATTTGGTTGAATTTTGATTAATTTATGCTATTGCAACCACAGAGCCTAACCATAATGTGAGGCCCTTGCACTGCTATCATAGTTGCAGTGCTTAATCACCAAAAATGAGGTTTTGTGATGCCTGCAGTAGTCATAGAGCCTAATTACAATATGTGACTCTTGCATTGCTATCACAGCCACAGAGCCTAACCACAATGTGAAGTCCATTGAGAAGGGCTAAACTGAATTAGCTCAGAAAAATTTGGGTAATACAGATATCAAACCACACTAATATAATCTAACAACTAACTCTATTCAAAGCCTAATGTTGGAAGGTAGAAAGAAGGCATGGAGAAACTTAGTCTGAGTTATTAGGGTTAAATAGAGTTCTAAACAATATCACGAAGCTCTAATTCAGAATCATGAGATTATAAGATTTATTTATTAGGGCACATTTTTGAAATTTTTTACTATGGTCCCAAGGGGGTGCATTTAGAGAGGTCCCTCTGTATACATAAATTGATCAATTAATTTATTCTATGTAATTAGAGTATAAATAACTAAGGTTCTAAAAATTTCTCTATTAATTTTGTTGCTAATACAATTTTTTCATTACTTTGAAATGTTATAAATATTATTGTTAAATTATTACTACAAACTAATATCTTTTAATTCTAAAACAAAATTTATAACTTCTTCTTTGTTACTTTTATAAAGGCTGATAAGACTATATTATAAGTAAATTAATTATATAATTCTTTTCCTGCTTTAATACCTTTTCAAAGATATCAAATATATCAGCTTTTTTAACTCCTTTAAGATATTTTAATATAGAATTTCTCATATTTTTGACTGAGTAAATTATTAATATTTGTTTTTTTTTTATAGAATAAGGTAATATATAACTTATTTGTTTATTAAATTGAGTTTCTATTGATAAAGATGTTATTAGTAATATTTCAATATTCCATATAAATAAAAATTTACTTCCTATTCCTAATTGACTTTTTATATTAATTTTACCTCTGTTAATTTCTGCTAATTTTTACAGATTGAAAGTCCATTTTCTGTACCATCTTGCTTTTTAGTTATCACATGTCATTTTGTAAAAACTTTTTCAAGCATGTTTTAAATATTCTGGATTTATACTATTATAGTTTTATTAAATAAGATTATATAATACTAAAATATAGTATAAAGTATATAATCAAAGTAATTACAAACAACTTACCCAATACTGGTATCATTTAATTCAATTAACAATATTTCTTTTTTAATACTTAATTCGTGATCCACTTAAGAACTAGTGAAATTAATTAGTAAATTATAGAGATATTTACTATTAAATTTTGCCTTTTTTGAAATCTGGAGTTTCCCCAAGGAAACTTTTTTCTTTACTAAATAAACATTTTTTCAAGCTTTAAGTAAAGTTGTAGAGGAGTATCTTGCAATCAAAATGGCAGTTAAAACGTTAAAATCGGCCTAGTAGATCATGAGATATAAGTACTTTAGACTTCACAACTATATGTTTTCTTCTTTATAAATATTGTGCATCAGATGCATCCTTGCATTGGATTAGATTTGATGCATATCAGATGTCGATTTCTATATGACACATGTCACCTGTCAATTGGCCATCTGACGTACATAAGTTATAATATGACGCAAAATCTTCAAAATCTAAAAAAAAAAAGAAAATGTAATAACGACTATGTAATAATATTATTATGTGTAAGTCTATAAAAAAAAAACCTTTTGCTTTGACCTTGTTTTCTTTTTCTTGGAACTTGGCATGATCAATGTTGGCTATACATCTCTCATTGGCTTTCATATTTGACATTGGCTTTTGCATTTGACATTGTCTTTCGTATTCGACATTGGCTTTACATCACATTTGGTATTGGTGGTGCCTACTAATTTCTCCACATTCAGTATTGGTTTAATCCTTTGGTACTACTTATTATTGGATTTCAGCACATCTTCATTTTGCAGTACTTTGTCATATTATAATTTTTTTTTTAGCCTTATTAAAGAAAAAAGATAATAATAACACTTTCTGAAATTTACCTTACAGATTTATTAAGAAATAATCCAACTGGTCCATATAATCTTTTAGGCTCTTCATTTGGTGGAATTGTGGCATATGAGATGGGATGCAAATTGATTAAACAAGGAAAATCCGTAAATTTAATTATGATTGATACGCCAGTTGGTCAAGATCTTCCAAAGTCAATACCAACAAGTGTCGCAGAAATATTACATTATATTTACTCTAAAACATATAATTTAGATGAATTAATAGGAATGGATGATGATGACGAGAAAGCATTGCGAATAGTTATTGAAAAGGCATCAACATTAAATCAAGAAAGTTCTATGATAACGTCAATGATGTTAAAAAGAATTGTTGATATATTTAATTTTAACGTAAAAGCAATGATAACATATCAATTATCAAGATCAGAAAGACCAATACCAATCATATATTTCAAAGCAAAGATAAGAAGAAAAGATATAGACCCTGAATTCCCAGAAAAATCTTGGATTGAAATACAAGAGATTAATGGAGGAAAGTTAGATTGTATTGAATTAGATGGTGATCATATAAGTGTAAATTTACATCCAGTATGTAAAAATATTACTGATTATATCAAACAGAATTTAAACCTAAATATTCTCGATACGCTGAAAGAAAATGTGATGAATTAGAGTAGTGAATAATTAGCATAATTTTTATTAATAACTTTAAATTAATATCCCTAATTATTTAACATCTATAGAATTTTTTTTGATGATTATCTTTGGGTAATATATAGTTATTGGATGCGAAGCAGCCAATAATTATGTTATTTCGATATTGGTTTAGTCCGATCATGAGCTTATTATTTTGATTTGGCATGTATTCTTTTAGTGTAGCTTCATGAACCCATTTATTTAAAAAGAAATTGGTTGTTCAAACATTTTTATGTTATGCTTGTGCTTGGGCTTGAGCTAGACTTGGAGCCTGTGTTGTGCTGGCATGTTCAGATCTAGTGCAGCTCTAATTCTAATACAGTTCTCCAAAAATTTTTATCAATCTCATGTTATATTTATAAAATAAAAAGATGGTTTTGCATTTTTTAAACTAAAAATATATTTGTGAATTATCAATATTTTGGTTTTTTTTTTATTTATTGATTTTACTGTCGCTTGTACTAGTGGTTATTAATAACCACTTCACATTTGTATTTCACTCACTGATCTTAAAATCGGTAAAAATCACAGGACCGCCGAACTTTGTGTCATCAATATTTCACTCAGGTATGCTAATAAGAAATGTAGCTTAAATTTAATTTTGATCAACTTAAATAATAACTCACGATGAAAAATCATCTAAAAATTTAGCAATTTGCTTGGTGTCGATGCAACCCTATCTCCAAAAGGATCTGTTCACTAAAAATTAATGGATACGGATATTTAATCCGAATAAGATTATGTAGAACAAATTTGCTTATAGCATAAATATATAATTAACTCCCTTCAATCTTTGTTTGTCTGTATGTCGTAGATCGTTTCCAACAAAGTTTAAGATTAGACGTTAAACATCTTATTTATTGGATGCGACCTTACTCGTGA